TTCTTCCTATCATCTCTCCCTTATCCTGAAAGATTCTGGAAACATTTTCTGTCATTCAGTTATGGAACTGTTCCCCCTTCCCCCTCCCCCAAAGCATGTTGAAATTTCAAAAGCTACCTGAGGAACATATAAATAAATCATAGGCACAGCCATTGAAAAGTTAATTACCTTGCTAAAGACAAAATAAAAATATGTTCTGCATGGGTGGGAGGGAATCATTGCTTGACAAATTATTAAAATCCTTGCTAAAATTAATTGTATCCAGGGTCTGGTCACCACAGCACTGTGTGCAAGTGATTAGGGATGTGGTCCTAGGAACTCTTTTCTGATCCCATCCTTGCAAATCTGCAGGGGAGACAGCCAGAGCTCCGATGCTTGTCCCCTGGGTGCATGGTGCAAGGAAGGTTACATACCACCCTGCAAGTTAGATACCCAGCCATTCTGCACTAGGTACTGGTTCTAGGCCAGATCAAAGAAGAGCAAACACTTTGCTCTTTTAAAGGATGAAGCAGATGCTGTTCTTTTGTGCACTCCTCCAACTCCATCATGGTCATGGCATGTTGCTGCTGTATCTACGAAATGTTTTAGAAACTTTGTGTGTCTGTCTGTCCATCCGTCTTCTGAGTCCTAAATGGTAAAAGCTAGCAGTACCACATTTGGTATGCAGCTTCCTCTTATCCTAACTTAAAGCAAGGTCAGGCTTTGGTTGTGCCAAGACTATGGGTTATGCCTGGATCCTGATTCTTTCCCATGAAATGGAAAGGGAGGGGTCTGATAGCAGGGACAGTTATGCTCTGGAATGACCACAGGAGGGCAGCATGCGCCGAAGACAGTTATATTGCAGAGTGACCACAGAAGGTTGGGATTGGTCCTGCCTAGGGCAGGGGGCTGGACTTGATGGCCTTCTGAGGTCTCTACCAGTTCTATGGTTCTATGATTCTATGAGGGTGGGCACACCTGTGGGGTTCTGCATGTTGCCAGCTACCATCCAAAAGTAAGTGGCCCCCCTTCTCCATAGCCAGAGGCCAAATCTTCAGCTCCAGTGCTGTACACCAGTGGGGAGCCCAGATAGGCAGTACAGCCCCCACTGCCCTGGCCACTCCTATGGAGCATCCACTGGCTGGACAAAACGGCCATCCACCCACTCCAAAAAGCCTCAGGGGATAGCCACCGGCCAGCCAGCACAACCCCCACTGCCACAGCCATATCCAGGAAACAGCCAGTTCTGGCCAGCCTTGAAGCTGCCCCAAGCCCCTCCCCTCACATACACCTCCCAACCCTCTGCCTTAATTCCTACACTACCCTCACCCTGCCTTTAGTCTCCCCACACTTCCCAACCCCTTGCCTTGACTCCTGCAGCCCCCATCTCCAGTCCTGAGCTCCTCACCCCTCCCAACACACACCTCTCAAATCTTTGCCCTGATTCCTACACCCCCAACCCTCAAGCCCTGAGAACCCACATGGAGTCAAGCAATGGTGGGTACATCTGCTAGTATCCTATATTGATATATAGCATATTGAACATGGCTACAAAAAGCGATGGAGAGAGCCAAGTGTAATTGGATGTTGTATATATATGTAGTAGGGAAGGACTGGTGCGGAGAAAGTAAATCAGGAAGTGTTATTGACTCCTTCTCAAAACACAAGAACTAGGGGTCGCCAACTGAAATTAATAGGCAGCAGGTTTAAAACAAACACAAGAAAGTATTTTTTTCACACAGGCAAAGCCAACCTGTAGAAGTCCTTGCCAGAGGGTGTTATGAAAGTCAAGATTATAACAAAAAGAACTAGATAAATTCATATAAAATAGGTCCATGTGAGGCTATTAGTTTTGCTGGGCAGAGAGGATGTACCTACCCTCTGTTTGCCAGGAATCTGGGCAACAGGGGATGGATCACTTGGTAATTACCAGCCCTGTTAATTCCCTCTGGGGAACCTGACATTGGCACTGTTGGATGACAGGATACTGGTCTGACCCAGTATAGCTGTTCTTATATTCTTAAGGACTATTATAGAACACATGTAGTCCCCTTACTATAGGGGCTCGTCTACACTGGCCCCTTTTCCGAAAGGGGCATGGTAATTTCAGAGATCGTAATAGGGAAATCCGCGGGGGATTTAAATATCCCCCGCGGCATTTAAATAAAAATGTCCGCCGCTTTTTTCCAGCTTTTAGAAAAGCCGGAAAAGAGCGTCTACACTGGCCCCAATCCTCCGGAAAAAGCGCCCTTTTCCGGAGGATCTTATTCCCACTTTGAAGTAGGAATAAGATCCTCTGGAAAAGGGCGCTTTTTCCGGAGGATCGGGGCCAGTGTAGACGCTCTTTTCCGGCTTTTCTAAAAGCTGGAAAAAAGCGGCGGACATTTTTATTTAAATGCCGCGGGGGATATTTAAATCCCCCGCGGATTTCCCTATTACGATCTCTGAAATTACCATGCCCCTTTCGGAAAAGGGGCCAGTGTAGACGAGCCCTCAAAGACAAGCTATACAGGGGAATAAGATGAAAAGATCAGGGTGGCAGTTGTAGGTGAAGGGAGTAACAAAATACTAGGATGTACACAATTTTCAGCCAGTCAGGAGTAGTAATCACATGTGTACGTTTTTTGACTCCCATAAGCCTTTGGGAAAAAGGAGGGGAAAATTCTTGCTCTCTTCCAGGCAAGGAGAGAGAGAATTGATGGGCTCCATTTTGGGGAGAGGAGACAGATTGCTGGTGTGGAGCCCTTTCCAGTCCAGGAGTTGCTGCTGGAAGCTAAAGCCTGTTACCGAGAGCCTGCTGGGGCTTCTATCTAGCAGGCTGCTGCAGGGGTTGTTGAGGATTGACCCTGGAAGGTAAAGACTTTGGCTGTGCCTGTGTCTGAGAAGGGCCTGCATAACCCTCCATAGAAGGTACTGTGTGTAACTGGTTGTTTGCAAAAGTGATGCCTGGACAGAGACAAGAAAACAGACAGACTCTGGGTCCAAAGAGAGGCAGAGTGATCTGCCCAATGAACCAGAGCTGCTGGATTGCCTTACCTGGACTGGTTGCTCAGCTTGGACTGTCACACACAGAACCTACAGAGTATTGTCTTCACTCCAGCTGCAGACCTTCAAACACGTCCACGCAAACATCTGGGACTCTGAATCCAGAGAAGTGCACACTCTGGGGTGGGATAAATGATGGCAGGGTAAATGCCATTTAGGCTATGTCTACACTGGGGTGTTATTTTGGGATACTTCCAATATCCCGAAATAGTGACAGTGTGCCCGTTATTTTGAAATGTAATTGAAATAACTGATGCACTATTCCAATGTCTTGGTAAACTTCGTTCAATGAGGATTAAGGGACTTATCGGAATAGCAGTCTGTTTCAAAATTTGGCACTGTGTAGACAGAGTCTATTTTGAAATTTGGCACTCTCGAAATAAGCTTGAAATAAGGTATGCAATCTGTGTAGCTCAAATTGCATACCTTATTTTGAGCTAGCACCATAGTATAGATTCACCCTTAGATAAGTTTCCCTTATTTTTGTGTACTTTGGTAATTGATTTTATTCACTTTTAATCTGTTAAACTCTGTTTCTTTAAGATGTTAAGTAAAGGTGTGTTAATTCTAATTTAATCAATTAGACGTATATTATTTGTAATTACTGTTTTGGCATTAGATCCAGATTATTACTGGAATAATTTTAATCCTGGAGGCTCCCAGGACGCACCATTAAGTGTGCACAGGGTGACCCAGATGGAGGCACTGCCTCTGTATATTCTTTTAGGAGCAAGGGACTGCAGCATGGGGGTGTAGTTAGGGAATCCCCAACTATACAACATCCCCATTGGGGTACTCAGGATCGCCTTTTATGTTAAAAACATCAGGTGCCAAGGCACACAGGTGAGCATAGCCTGCTCCCAAGTAATCCGGGGAGGAAAGAGGGGGTTACATATGGCACCAGTTTAATAGTACTTAATAGCACCCCATAAATCTGAAGACATCCCTGAGTGGTCAGGCCACAGAGGAACAGGAGAGTGGTAGAAGGAAAGTATATTAGCTATAGATTGAGCAAGTCTCTGTACCCAGAGTGAGCTAACAAGGGCTAATTCAGAACCAGAAAGAATCTTCTGGAATCAATCATGCAATTGAAGTACCTGAAAATAGTTGGAAGGTTTCCGGAGTCAACTGGGTGGGACTAACCAGAGAACCTGGGGATCAGTTAAGAACCAGTTGAGAGTGGTTAAAAAGAGCCCCTCTGCAGTTAGTAGGGAGCATGTGAGAAGTTTGGAGGAGGGAAGGTGCCTAAGGTCTGAGAGTGAAGCGGTGAGGTGGGTGAAAAGCTGACAACAGTGCGAAAAGGCAGAATGCTGTAGAGGACCAAGATGAACTTGTCCAGGTACCAGAGAGAAGGTCCTGGGAGGGATTGTTTGGGAAAGTGGCCCAGGGAAGAGGCAGCAAGACTGGGAATAGAGGAAGTCTGTTGCCACTGCTTTAGGGTCCATGGGCTGGAACCCAGAGTAGCGGGTAGGCCCAGATTCCTGGGGTCCCTCTGAGGCAAACGCTATCTGCCAGAAGTGCAGGATCCATGGATCACTGTTGGAGCCTTGCCACGCTGAACATGATTGACAAGTGAGTGAGCTGTCATCCTGACTTCTGCTTCAAGAACCCACAAGCCAGTTTTGCTACTTATTATTCCTTTTTGTTTCAAATAGCCATTGAGAAACTCAAAACCAAAAATATTTCCCTTTTGGAAACAAATTCTGGGGACTCGATTCAGCTCTCTCCTGTGTTGTAAAGTAGAAGTTACTATTTAATCAGTTATCCAAGGAACATCATTCTAGGACCTTCATGTATAATATGCTGGAGGAATACAAACCTACTACAAAAAATGAGGGTGCACCAATACAGTAAGCAGCAAAGTGAAGCCAGGAAATATATTTGGCAGATAAGAGGATGTGTATTGGTAATACTGTGTGAGTAGTGTTCTAAATAAAGCCAGGTTTATGCTAATTTCAGGCACTGATCACTTGCAGGTTTCACCCAATATCCATTGAAGTCATGTCAAGTCTTTTCATGGACTTCAGCAGGCTTTGGATCAAGTCCCAAGTTATTTTCTACCATGTATCACACCAGTGCACCTCAGGTCAGGAAATAAGATCTCTGCAACTCCATCTAAATACTTTCCTGAAAGAGTAGCTACAACACTAAGTAAAACAAAGATTTTTTTGTTCATTACTCAGTTTATGGCCACAATGCAAGGAAAATACCGTTTGGGCCCTTGCCAGGCACAAAGTGAAGCAAAACTGGTCTTGGGACTGTGTTCCAGTGACAGCTGTGCCGGATTACCTTTCTTCCAAAAAAAGATATTTTAACATGGAAAATAAAGGAGAGATGTCTGATGTGAAATTGATTTAACAAGAAAAAATATTAATTCTAAAATAATCCAAATGTTTCTTAGAATGTTCTTTTCTGTAATGATTACAAACAGCAAAAAAAATGGAGTTTTGAATATATTGTTCAAGTATTTTGAATGGGATTTTCATAGCCAACAAATATGAGGATGGCCTATTCCTTTTAATTTCTCATGGGAAACAGTCCTACAAATCCTTGAAGTGACTTTGATAACATTAGCCTTTGGTGTTTTAGAAGTGGCATAACTCATTTTTTTCCTGAATGCCAGATAGGTCATGCTTCAAATCCAGGATTCATTTGTGACATAGAACACAAGATGCTTGGGTGCTTCCTTTTTCAAAGTAATTTTTTTTTCTCCTCTGGCTCTGCACATATTAAATGCTTGCCCTGACCTTTCCTACAGATAATCTTGCCCACTGTTGACACCATACACTTCAGTGGCATAAGTGAGAACTGTGTCCTGGTGGGCAGCTGGGAAAAGACTGAGGTTCAGTGAACTGCAGAAATTGTCCAGAAAGAACCATTCAAAGTCCTCTTCAGTTCACTGAGGTAATTCTTCAGAATGGTCACTGCTCTGCTGCTACCGGAGAATATGGAACTTCCTAAGCAGGGGAACTGACAGCTTTGCCAGGCCTTTGGGCAAGGTGTGTGTGGGGAGGGGGGGCTGGCTCTGCTCCTGGAAGAGGCAGGGGCCTCAGGTGGAAGGGGTGGGCCTGGGGCAGCCAGCCCTCTGAGCTGCCCAGACTGAAACCACCCCCCCACACACGCACACACTTTAGAGCTGCTTGGAACACACTGCATGGGGCGCTGGTGTGATTTAAAGGGCCCTGGGCAATTGGCCCCTTCCTTCCTTCCCCCCCCCCTCCCCCCGTTCTTAAGTAGTCCACATAAACTAAGTCTCTGGTGATCCAACTGAACGAGAATGGCTTGTTTTCATTATCTTCATGTTACGGGACACTATTCCAGACTCACCTGATGACTTTTCATTACGGGTACGTCTACACTGGCCCCTTTTCCGAAAGGGGCATGCTAATTTTACAGGTCGTAACAGGGAAATCCGCGGGAGATTTAAATATTCCCCGCGGCATTTAAATAAAAATGTCTGCCGCTTTTTTCCGGCTTTTAGAAAAGCCGGAAAAGAGCGTCTACACTGGCCCCGATCCTCTGGAAAAAAGCCCTTTTCCGGAGGATCTCTTATTCTCTTATTCAAAGTAGGAATAAGAGATCCTCCGGAAAAGGGCTTTTTTCCGGAGGATCGGGGCCAGTGTAGACGCTCTTTTCCGGCTTTTCTAAAAGCCGGAAAAAAGCGGCGGACATTTTTATTTAAATGCCGCGGGGGATATTTAAATCCCCCGCGGATTTCCCTGTTATGACCTGTAAAATTAGCATGCCCCTTTCGGAAAAGGGGCCAGTGTAGACGTAGCCTACAAGTTTAGTAACGTGTTAATCTTCATTTCTCTAGAAACGATCTTCAGCAGCCCTTATGTTTCTAGGGAGTGTGACTTACTTCAGTAGGCCTTTCACGTGCTAGAACAACTCCTGTGCTCTAATGGAATCAAACAGTTTCTGCCCCCAGTTACACTGGTGCAACCCAGAACAGAATCCAAGCCTTTAATTCAGTATTATAGAGGCTGATTATAGCTCTGAAAAGTGTCTCTATCAAGCCTGTAAGTCCACTAAACAGCTCCTTGGATAAAGCCAGGCCTTTTCCATTCCCCCTTCCATCCTGAGCTCCTGATCTGTTTTCTCCCTCTCTCTAATAAGGCAAGTCACAGCTGAACGCAGAGGTAAGGTCACTCACCCCAGAGTCTCACTGCCACACACACCTGGACTTTGGGGAATGCAGTGAATAAAATAAAGTTGAAATGGCTGTTTAAACTATTAAGTTCCTTCCACCTAATTTCAGATCCCACCTCAAAATAAATAGTTTCTTGCAGACAAAATTTACACTTTGCTCAAGAAGCTTCATGCATGTAAATTAAATATGTGGCAAAATTTTCTAAGCTCTACTTTCCGTCTTTGCCTAGAACAATGAAACCCCCTCCACTAGCGCTAGCCAACCTAGCCTCCGGGATCACAGCCCTTTTACGGGACAGTGGGGAACCACTTAATTAGGGACAGCTGTCCCAGCCCTCTACTCAGACAATCCCTGTACTAAGGGCATGCAGCTGTGGTCTTTCTTGTGTGAAAGAAGAGAGTGTTAACCCCTTCCTTGCTGATGGCAGGAGTGGGAGTGCGGGAGGTACACAAACAGCAGCAATCAGAAAGTGAATGGGGTTGAGGTGTTTTAAGTACGTCTGCATATGAATATTATCTGCATTCCAGGTCACACGGATGGCATTTCCTCGTGGCAAATGTTATTATGACCTAGAGTGACCACACCCTTTTTGAATGTCAGGCTGCAGGCCTGGCCAGCTCCTCTGCATGTTTCACACTTGCAGTTTCTCTGAAATTTTGCATTTCCCAGACTGGCAATGACATAACCACCCTTGTTGTTCCTGACTGACTGTGGTTCCACTGGGGTTCCACCAGCCTCAAATGGCGCAGCAGGGTGGGGAATGGGCTCACAAAGGGTGGGGAAAGTGCCATTCTTGGCAGTGGCACAGGAATATTTTTAAGAGTGGGGGATGCTGAAATCCAGCCCCCTTACCTCCGTCCACCACCTATCAGCGGGGGCCAGCAACAGAGTCCCCCAGCATGCAGAGCCCATAGCAGATCCCCCATCATAGAAGGTGGCAGCTGGGACCCTGGGTGCATGGCTGACAGCAGAGCAGTCCAACATGCAGGACTGGTACAGGGACCCCAGATGCTAGGGGTTCCTACACCTGTGCTCTTGGACCTAGTTCTCCCTTCATTTCTACCAACATAAATAAGGGATGATTTCACTGAACTCCATAATGTTACACTAATGCGAGTGGAAGACCTCATTCACTGAGTGCTATTTCTGGTGCTACTACTGATGCCAGCAGTAAGGGGTGATATCTTAGATGGAGACTGGACTGCTTGTTCCCCACATCCCACGCAAGCTTGAGGGCTATGCTGGCGGTGGTGGCTATGCCACCTCTGAGGTGAATCAAGCGTCATTGGTGAGTGTGCTTCCTCCAGCATCCCTGGAAGCAGCATGCCTGCCCTGGCCTGCTCAGACACATGCTCTCCCTCCAGCAGGGCTCAGCCACACGCTGTCCCTCTACTTCCCTGCCCTAGAGTGACTCTGTCCAAGAGCCCTAATTAAGACTTTTGACTTGACCCTATAGGAGGGGCTGGATTCTGCTCTCAACATCAGTGTAAATCCAGGACCACTCTATTGCCTCGAGTGCCATCATACCAGATTTACAGTGACAGCACAAGGAGCACCAAGGGGAGTTTTAGACAAGGAAATCACTGGTAAAAACATAGGGCCTGACTCTGAGCTTCTTTTTGCTGGGGTAAATCCAGAGTAACTCAGCAAGTCAAGCGAGCTAAGCGGGGATAAGTTAGAGCTGCTGAGGAATCGGGCCTTGTAGCTCAATTAAACCTAGCACATAACAGTGTAGATCTGAATTTGGACTCTTGCTAAATGCAAGTTTGCACTGCAGTCTCCTGCATGTAATTTGGCACACCAGGGCATGAGAGACCTAACTCTGACATGGTCTGGAGCCCCTCCCTTAAGGCTAAGAACAGCAAACTGGAACTGTGCAATAGACATCCTTGAGGGCCATGGCCTTATTTCTACATCTGGATTTGTTAAGGAAGGAACTTATGCTCTGTAAATATATTTTTAAAACACCAGGCCTTGTAAACTCTCAAGAAATGAATACTTTCTTCAAGTTGCTGGGAAGAAATATGTCCCTTCATAAATGCAAACCAGCTGACCCCAGAAAATAAACAGAGTAACAAATGACAAAGCAGCTATGTACAGCAGGCGGTAACAGCCATTACATTAAGATACCCTGAGGCATATGAGGCCATTACATCCATACAGCAGACATCTAAACATTGACCACATTCATATATTTAAGGGACTGGCAATGACTGTAAGTTTTTGTAATTTCTATTTTTAAATAATTGGCAAAAATATTCATAGAGATACTTATGGCTTTCTGGCCACACAAGTAGATAGGTAGGTAGATACTTTATTATATTCTGGGTCAGTTTAAAAGCACTCCTGATAAATACTCATCACATGCATTTGTGTGGTGTGCCTCCCATAAAGTGGGTTTGGCTTATTCAAAAAACAGTCATTGTTGGCTAACTTCATGCTATTAAGTCGCATCATGTTTGCCCAAAACCCACGGATGAATCATAGATTCATAGGACTGGAAGGGACCTTGAGAGGTCATCGAGTCCAGCCCCCCACCCTCAAGGCAGGACCAAGCTCCGTCTACACCATCCCTGACAGATGTTTATCTAACCTGTTCTTAAATATCTCCAGAGAGGGAGATTCCACCACCTCCCTGGGCAATTTATTCCAATATTTGACCACCCTGACAGTTAGGAATTTTTTCCTAATGTCCAATCTAAACCTCCCCTGCTGCACTTTAAGCCCATTACTCCTTGTCCTGTCCTCAGTAACCAAGAGGAACAAATTTTCTCCTTCCTCCTTGTGACACCCTTTTAGATATTTGAAAACTGCTATCATGCCCCCCCTTAATCTTCTTTTTTCCAAACTAAACAAGCCCAGTTCATGAAGCCTGGCTTCATCGGTCATGTTCTCTAAGCCTTTAATCATTCTTGTCGCTCTTCTCTGTACCCTTTCCAATTTCTCCACATCTTTCTTGAAATGTGGCGCCCAGAAATGGACACAGTACTCCAGCTGAGGCCTAACTAGTGCAGAGTAGAGCGGCAGAATGACTTCATGAGTTTTGCTTACAACACACCTGTTGATACAACCTAGAATCATATTTGCTTTTTTTGCAACAGCATCACACTGTTGACTCATATTCAACTTGTGGTCCACTATGACCCCTAGATCCCTTTCCGCCATGCTCCTTCCTAGACAGTCGCTTC